TACATATACAAATTTTTTTCCTAAGAATAATTGTCTCATTCATATACAACTTATCTGATACGTAGGCACAGTTGATTGTATAATATATATCAATCGAAAAAGATAAAATTTGATAACACGTTATCCATTTTCTTGATATATATATTTTAAAAAAAAATTGGATACATAAATAATATCATTGATTGTATTAATCTAAGAAGAAGAAAAAAATTAAAGGTCAAACAAATTAAGAACCCAATACGAGAATTTTGATATAATAGTATTAATCCACCAAAAAATAAATAAATCAACAATCAATAAACATCTAGAAAAAATTGAAGAAGAACAATCACATGTTTAAATAAAATTAACTCAAGTAAGACTTTAACAAGATTATGAATTGGTGTAAGAAACATAGAGGAAGAAGGAGAAAGACTCACATAATGAATTAAAAAGAGGGAGAGAAGTAAGAAAATGAGAAGCGAGCAAAAATAAAAAGAGAAAGGAGAGATTTGCTATAAAACCTTAAATATTGTTTTATGATATAACTTTTTGAAAGTGTTGCATATACATTAGCTATTTTTACTTAGTCAAGTAGTTTTCCCTAATATTCTAGACCTCCCATCAAGTTTGATTAGTAATTCTAAATTTTCCTATAAAAGTTATAATATATTTCTTTTTAAATTATACTCTATCTATTTTAAAATAAGTTAATTTATTGAGATAATACACATCTATTAAGAAAAACAAAGTTTATGATATAATTTAAACACCACTTTTTTACTTTGTCATGATCCAAAAATAGATGTGATTGCTCTCGTCTAAACCCATCAAGATAAGTCAGCCTTAAACTCAATAATACGAAAAGAATGCACAAAATAAATCAACAACAGCATAAGAGCAGAAATTTTAGTCATTCTAAAAATATATCCCAAAATCTAGTTATTACATGTGCAAGCCACTAATATATTATCACCAATTGAAAGATAAGTACAAGTCTCACTTTATTTATTTCTCGAATAAAACAAAACACAAAAAAGAAATAAGAGGGCTCGCTGGATGACAAGCAGCTATCTCTCAATGTGTCGTTTGAAAGCCTCATAGAAAGATGAAGAAGAATGATCACACCAAATTCGGGCTAGAAACCTACACAAGTATAGAACAAAGAGTGAGTATCAAACAACATGATACTCGACAGTTAGCCAACTACACCAGGTAAAACTAAGTTAGAATACGAGTAATCCTTTCATACCAATCGAACCGTCGCAGCTACAACCTGCGTAGAAATCAGTTTCACCTAACCATTTACTACAATACACACCTCACAAGGCTTAACAATCAATCCAACAGTCACAGTACAATAATCAAGTATCAAGTGTGTCAACTGCAATCATCAAGTAGATCAATCACAAATGTCAACTAGATCAATCATATAATAGTCACACTTGCAGGAATCATTTCTCAACGACTTTATATAATGTCATTTGTTGTAATCATTTTTCATCGGCTCAACATTAATAGCCTGAACCATCAAGTTTATATAATATCACTTGTCGAAATCATTTCTATCGGCATATGTCTCATTACATTTTACCAAAATTGATGCAAATAGGCAATGTCACATCATTTGGAAGACACAATAAACTCAAGAGTCCATGGATGACTCGACAGTGTTAAAAAAAAGACATGTGCCTAAGGCCCCCAAATTTAAGGGGCCTCATTTTTTATAATAATAGGTTATAAGTTATTGTTTTTAACAAATATTGAATACTATTTATAAAAAAGTAAACATTTCATGAAAAATAAAGGAATTATTATAAGAAATTTGACATATTTTGAGTACTATATCTTATGAAAAATAATTTAAAATAAGAATGGTTATATTATAAGGTAAAAACTAGAAGAAATAAATTATATAAAATTATTAACAATTTAAATTTGAGGCCCCGTTTGATTTTTGCTTTAGACCTCTAATATGCTTGAGTCGCTCCTAAGACCACGTTGATGCCATCAAAGCATTTCATCAATCAACTAATTAAGATCAACAATTCACAAAATACAACTATCAACACATTGCCTTTTTCATTCAATCCCCTTTTCCAATCATGAAGATCAATCAGATAGAGTAATTGAACTATGACCTCATTCACATTACTCCACAACATACACAATGAAGGGAAATACAAAATTCTACAAGTTCACAAGGTGAAGAAATTTATTTGCTTTAATTCAATCAAAAATCAACGTGAGACTTGAGCTTTTTGTTTTTGAACAAGGTTCAAATCCACACAATTTAATTCAACAAATAATCACAATAAGATTTCAAAAATAACAACACTCATATTTTCACAAACAACACGATATTTCTGTTATGTTCCATCACAACATTCCAACGAAACGTCTTCCTTCCATGTACCAATTAGTGCCTTATTTTCCATACTCTCATGGAATAAGTACTTGAATTATTCTATAAATGAAAAAATTGTTTCACTACACATTCATAATTATTATATCACTTGTAAATAATATTTTTGAGTTGTTAAAAAAAAGGCTATGCAACCTATTGAAAACTCATACACACCCTTGTAGACATAAAACAACTAACAAATAAATGTTCTCAAGTCTTAAAAACTTAATAGTAATAATCCTAATGAATTTCCTATAGCCAATCCATAAAGTGTAACTAAACTTTCACTTTATAAAATTAAAAAAAAATATTTTACAAAGTGTAAGAAAAACTTGAATTTTATAATTTAGACGTTAATAGATTTAATATAAATATTTTTGGCCAAAAATATTCTTTAACTATACCCCAAACTTAAACTATATCTTTAAAGTATCATTTGTAGCAGAAAACATCCTTTAGCTATACCCCAAATTTAAACTATATCTTTAAAGTATCATTTGTAGCAGAAAACATCCTTTAGCTATACCCCAAACTTAAACTACATCTTTAAAGTATCATTCTTACTGAGACTGGGCAACGGAACCGGACATACCGGTAACGTTTCGATTCGTCCCATTTCGGTTGCATACGGAATGGGACGAGATAGTCTGAACCAATACACGAAATGGAATGAAACTGTGATTTGGTACCGGTGTACCGGTACCGCTTCATTCCGATTTCGTCTTGATCCGTTCCAATTTCCGTCCAGTTTAATTAATATATATTAATTAATTAATATTTTTTATTTTATATATATATTATATTTTATATAATTTATATTTTATATTTTATATAAATTATATATTAATTACTAATTACAAATTTTATTTATTTATATTACAAGACACAAGTTATAAATATAACTTATAAATTATAAATATTAATGAATAATAAATAATAACTTATAAAGTATAAACTTCAAAAGATTACAATACACAAGTTATAAATATACTTACAAATTATAAATATTAATGAATGATGAGTAATAACTTATAAAGTATAAACTTCAAAAGATTTAAATTTTAAAAACTTTATTAGGCTTAACTTGCAAAATTAATAAGCAAAAAAATTTTAAAAAATATCTTTAAAATAAACTTAAGTAAAAAAATATATTATAAATTTAAAAACTATTAATTTAAACTTAGGAAAATAAAAAAAATTATTCATTTTCGTAATTCCAAAAAATCATTTTTGAAATAACTAGATTTGGCATCCCGTTTATCCCGTCCCGTTCCATTCCCGTCCGTTTCGGTTCCATTCCGGTATATAGTGGGACGGGATGGAATCGAGTATTCGTTCCGGTAATTCTAATTCGGTTCATCCCGGTACCAGTCAACGTACCGGTCAACGCGTCCCGTTTGGTCCGGTACCGATTCGTTCCGGTCCGTTGCCCACTCTTAATTCTTACCATAAAACATCCTTCAAGTATATAAAGTGAGTAATTTTTATCCTTCTACTTGAATTTCTCGTAAAACTGTCCGATATATCCCACAAAAAAGTCGTCCCTTCCTAATTATTATCCTTAGAAATGCCAAGAATATTATCGTGAACTTTTTCGTAATTGAGTTAAGAATTATGCAGAACTTTTAATTTGACCGTTTTTCATTCATTTTTATTTGATTTTAATTAAAAATATTATTAATTTAAATATGCTTCTTCTCTATTGAATATGCTCGACGTTTATTGGAGACTTCCCCTTCTAATAATGTCAAATGAAACTCAACTACGAGACATAATCATTATTTTGGTCACTTCAGTATTAGATTGACCTAAAAATCTATTGATTTAATTAATCAAGAAAAAAATTAAAAAAAAATAATCCCCAACTTTTTTCTGTTATGAAAAAGGCAAATTATGTACGCTCACTCCTTCCAATCATTTTTAGTTTCATAAGCAACAATATCTAAGATTATTTATATTTTCCAAGAATTTCTTGTAGCAAGTAATGAAATTATGCAGAATAACTTTTGTTGATAGTTACGTTAACTATTCATGTTTTGTAAGATCTATTAGTTTTTTGACAATATCTAATAAAAGGATGAAAGTTGTTTATTTACAAATACTTAAGATGTTTTCTGCTAAAAATGATACTTTAAGGATGTAATTTAAGTTTGAAATATAGTTAAATGATGTTTTCTGCTAGAAATGATACTTAAGCATATAATTTAAATATGAGATATAATTAAAAGATGTTTTTGATAAAGGGAAAATGCACAAGTACCTCCTCAATCTATGTCTAAATCCTAGAGACACACTTATACTATACTAAAGTCCTATTACCCCTGAACTTATTTTATAAGTAATTTTCGATCCCTTTTTAGCCTACGTGACACTAATTTTTTTTAAAAAAGTCAATCATTATTTGACCCACAAGATAATGCCACGTAAGCCGAAAAAGGATAAAAAATTACTTATAAAATAAATTACCTTAGTATAATATAATTGTGTCTCTCAGATTTGCAAGGGGTACTTGGCCATTATCTCTTTGGAAAAAAAACTCTAACAAAGATATACAAAACCTTATTTTCGAACTCTCTACTAGACCACGTGGCTCTACTTAAAAGAAAAAGCGGTGTCGTTTCCTTCTCTTTTCCAGAAAACTTTGTTACTCTTCTCAATTCCCAAACCCTAAACCCAAACCCGAACACTAGAGCCAAATCCCGACGCCGATGGCATATCACGCCGGAGACAACGACGGCGACGGCCAAAACCGGCGGTTCTATAATCCATACCAAGATCTTCAAGTTCCAATTCAGAAACTCTACAAACTCCCAACTTCCCCCGAATTTCTCTTCAAAGAGGAATCTCTCGCACAGCGCCGATCGTGGGGAGAAAACCTAACGTTCTACACTGGCATCGGTTATCTCTCCGGTTCCGTCGTCGGGGCAGGTAAAGGATTTATTCAAGGCGTTAAAGCTTCTGAGCCTGGGGACACGTTGAAGCTCCGGATTAACAGAATATTAAACGGGTCGGGTCACAATGGTAGGAAGTTCGGGAATCGATTCGGAGTTATTGGACTGATGTATGCGGGTTTAGAGAGTGGGATGGTGGCGATCAGGGATACAGACGATGTTATCAATAGCGTGGTGGCGGGTTTAGGGACTGGAGCATTTTACAGGGCGGCGGCAGGGTTGAGGTCCGCGGCTGTTGCAGGGGTTATTGGTGGAGCTGTAGTTGGGCTTGGAGTTGCAGCAAAACAGGCGATGAAACGATATGTACCAATCTGAGCTTGTTTTTGATAGGTTTGTAAGCTTTTTAAGTTTCAATTGTTACTGAAATTTTGATGGTAGCTTGAGAAATTGTTTCCACGTTGAGTTGTAATGTAATTATTTTATCGAAGGTGCATGCTTTCTTGATATATTCGATTATCGTATTATTTTGATGTAGTTACTGTTCAGTATGCATACTTGTTGGACTTCTTTTTCGTGTATCGGAAACAACCTTTATACCTAGAGGTAACGTCTATGAACACTCTCCCCTCCCATACCCCATTGATACGCAGTAAGCTTTCTAGATATTAGCTAGTGCACCTTGAGCAGCAGTAATGTAATTATTTCATTAAAGCTGCATACTTTCTTGATTCTTTGAATATATGTTCTGAAACTAGGTTTTAAATGGACTTGGTTATGAATAATTGACAGAAAAAGACTTACTGGTGTATGGCATTTTTGAAAACTTAGCACCTTGAGATGGTTGTTCCCTTCTGTTGTTTCTGTCAATTGTCTCTGTTTATTACAGTTTTGTGCAAAATTTCAAGAATGCATCTTCTGTCCTTGTGCAAATGGTTTTCCTTGAAGTATATTTGTACTGATAGAACATCAACAACCTACCTCCTTATTCCTAACTCGTGGAGGTAGATGGATTGTTGGGATTGTTTCCGAAGGACCCTAGCCTCTAGTGATTATTGTATTTATTTGTTAGTTACTGTAAAGGGAGGTTGTTTCCAAGGCTCCTTGCCTCAAGTGATATTTGTATCTATTTGTTAGTTACTGGAAGTAAAAGGAGGTTGTTTCCCAAGGAACCTCGCCTCAACTGATATTTGTATCAATTTGTTAGTTACTGTAAAGGGAGGTTGTTTCCGAAGGCTCCTTGTCTCAAGTGATATTTGTATCTATTTGTTAGTTACTGTAAGTAAAAGGAGGTTGTTTCTAATGGGACCTCGCCTCAAGTGATATTTGTATCTGTTTGTTAGTTATTGTAAAGGGAGGTTGCTTCCGAAGGACTCTCGCCTCGAGTGATATTTGTACCTATTGTTAGTTATTGACAAGGGAGGTTGTTCCCTAAGGATCCTTGCCTCAGAGTGTTATTTGTACCTATTATTAGTAACTGAAAGGTCTGTTCAGTAGATAACGTTGTCATTGAGTTAACTGAATTCATCAAGCTGCACTTTTTAGTGGACTTCTGCTGCATTCGTATTTGTTTCTTATTTAGAAGTAATGTTATCAATTCGTTCTTTGATGATAACTTTGGTTTTATGTCTTAACGTACCCATGAAATTAGTTTCTTTGACAATAATAACTCTGTAAATTATCTTGTCTATCAGTATTATGTGTATATACATGCTTTATTACATACTTTGTTGGTTTGCAGTTAGAGTAATTGCTTAATCTTCTCAGAAGATGGTATCTCTGTTTATTTGTTAATGACACTGCATAATGGTTCTTTCTTTGGAGCTTTTGTGAGTCCCAATTATATGCAGGCTTGCTAGCTGTCTCTGTCAAATTGGCTTATTATGTATTATTATATATATGTTATATGATTTTTTAAGTTCTCATATTGAAAAATACTGTGTTTTATTTCCAACGTGTGCAGAGTTACTGGTGTTATACTGGTGGTAGTTTTTGTGGAACTCGGTGAAATAGTTTGAGGTGTATGCAAACTGGTTAGGATAAGACAAACTTGAAATTTTAGCTCATTGTTTATTATATTGGTATAGATAGGTGAAAGTGTTGTAATACATTTCTATTCACCTCAATGATTGTTATGCCTGCACGTCAAATAGAGGTATCATAGTTATTATAATGCTAATTATTATGATGAAATTGCGTGATGCCTTGCTATTATTATTATGTGAAATCAAAAATTTCAAATTATCAAAACAAAAAAGGCTCAAACTATCCTTTAACGTTGTAGAAATAATTCACAAATTTCTGTTTATCTACCGCATCGAATTTGCCTGCTTCTTAACGTATTAGAAATGATTCAGAAAATGCGTTTAATTTTAGAGGACTCTGTTGACGGAATCATCCCAACCTCTCAATAATATAGACATACTTGATCTCAACTGACAACTAAACATTTCAATTTGTTTTGATTGTATCTTTGTGGACATTTGATATTTACAGACATACTTGATCTCAACTGACAACTAAACATTTCAATTTGTTTTGATTGTATCTTTGTGGACATTTGATATTGACGCTTCACATAGTTTTTGAAGATGTATAGATAATTAGTTTGTAAGTTGAAGTGTTTAACTGACACAATGAAGATGAACTGAGGTGTGTCTAGATATGCTACTTAAAGTTGAAGTGTTTAATTATTTGTTGAGATAAAATTAAAGTGTCTATTTATCTATTCATATAATAACTCCAAGACATAAAATATTCAGCTGTCTTCCACATGTTACCATCAAAGTTTGTCACATAACTCCATTAACAAAAAAGAGTATAATGGAAAAAAGCAAAAAAGATAAAAGATAAAAAAGGAGGAAAAGCTACTCAAGAATATGATAAAAAAAGATAAAATAATAAAAGAAGAATAGGATAAAATGATAAATATAAAAAGAAGAATAGAATAAAAATAAAAGCCACACCTCCACCCCTTTCTTGGATATATAAATCCATATATAGTTTACTCAAAAAACATAATCTTGAAGCAAAGCCTAGTACATTTTCCTCTAAAGCCAAACCCCACAACAAACTAAAAACCTCTCATTTTCATTACTATTGCTAGAAAATGGAGAATTTTAGATCAATGTCAACAAGGGAAGGTGGAAGGATGCAAAAGTTATCACCAACAAGTATGCAAGATTTAAGGAGTTATAGTACTAATTCACATCATATTCCTAATAATAATAATAATAAGGAAGTGAAGATCAAGAAGAGCAATATTAACAAGAGCAAAGTGATGTCCACTTGTTCAAAAAGTTGGAAATTGGATGATCTTGAATTGCAAAGAAAGAGAAGAGTTGTTGGATATAAAGCTTATGCTATGGAGGGTAAAATGAAGGGCTCACTCAGAAAGAGCTTTAGGTGGATCAAGGATACTTGCAATAATGTAGTCCATGGATGGTGGTGAATCAGACTCAAAAACGAATTCAAGATTTAAGTTTTTGTAGGTTCAATGTTTAAGATTTTTATCATCGAACAAGTTTTTTATATTTATAATTGCGGGTTTATAACTACTATTTATTACTCATAATTTTTATGAATATCCTTGCATATAAATTTATGATCTGCATTGCAATAATCTCATTAATTTGTCTCTGGTAATGATCTATTAATCTAATTGGTCATTTACCATATAGTTAATTACGATCAAAACACATCTAAATTATTACTTTTTCTCAGTTTCATATTTTAACTATTCAATATTTTTTTACCTATTTAAACTATCGCTCCTATTACATTAGGTTTGAGCTAACTCACATCACAAAAGTTACTCATAATCTTATAAGGAGGAGGATCACTCAAACCATATAAAAGCTCAAGATTTCATTTTTCACCGATGTGAGACATTCATTCGATTCATCATTACCCTTCACTCTAGGATTCAAATATTCTTTACTAGGAATTTTACTGTCCGTTCCGGAGAGTGACATTCACGAACCAGAGGTATTTCTACCCCCACAATTGTCCGATTTTTCTTGGGATTCACATCGGGTTCGAATCTGTTGCCACATCAAATTAAGTTTTGATCCTAATTCATATTCCAAAAGCTAGCTCAAAGGGGAAGGATTACTCAAAATTTCATTCCTTCACTAATACGAGATACTCCATTTCATTTATTATGTATTAAAATACACCTCGATGTTAAGTAATATGTTAAATTGATGGAACAATTGAACTATATAAAAACTTATTCTACATTGGATCATAAATTGTAATTTAATTCTTATGCATTGAAGTTTAATTAAATTTAAATTCACGCTTTGCATAACTCATTTCTAAAGATAACACTCTCAACATGATTTTTTCATTTTCGGAGTTTGAACCCGAGCTACATTTTTCATCAAAACTGAAAATATCTCAAATAATTTATATTGGTACGTTACACTTTCACTAATTACGAGCAACTATGCACCATCAAATTAAAGGAAAAAGAAACAAAAACAAAAAGGGGAAATCTTAGGTATATATATGATGATATTGATCCTGGAATAATGCTGCTTTTTTAATGACCCATATAATCATTAGTAATGATATATAGTAAAATTTACGCATGATTTAAGGTAACTTATCATATAATTATAAGTTAATATTAATATAAGCACTTATTGATCAGATAAAAAAATAGCTATGTTATTCTCACAGATTAAGTCATTACACTATATTAATAATAATATAATATAAATCGAATAAATCATTAGGACAAATGTATAATTGAAGTTCAAAAAAATGAACATAAAACCGCTTTATCCTACAGCGTTGATGAAAATCAACAATTAAATAAAAATTAATTATAACTTTTTATCTCAAATGTTGATCTGATTTAGACTTTTTTTTAAAAAATAAATTGAGTAGAAATTCATAATATAAATTTTAAAAAAAGGAAAAAGGAACTTACAAATAAAAAAAATCAAATCAAATCAAACCAAAGTAAATGCTAATGAATTATGCGTTTTTACTTTGTACTTAGCATATTGATCATATTTCTCTTTTACTCGGAAAAAAGATAAAGATGAAAAATAAATTAGGGCTAAGAATAGAAATAGTTCAATTCTATAACTTTTTTTTTTGGTAAAATTCTTTTACTTCTTAAAATGTAATAACAAGTTGAATTTTATGGTATTAATTTAAGGACCTATTTAATAATTTTAATTTTAGTTAGGAGAAATTTTTAATTACATTCCATAATAAATACTTGCCCCACGCCTAGACTGATGCTTTATCTAATTCAATTTAATTTTAAAATGAGTGAAATAAACTTTCAAAAAAGCAAAACAATGAAAAAATAAATAATACCCCTCCATTTACTTTTTTTTGAATCGATTGTATTAAAAATAATTTTTCATTTTTTCTTGTCCATATTAACATATAAAAGGACAATTCTTTAACAAGTTTTTCTCTTATCATTAACTATTCATTCCAAATCATTTCTCAAATTCTTACGGACAATATACTCTCTCCGTCCGGTATCATTTATCATGATTTCTATTTTTATAGTTAAACTGTAAAATTTTTGACTAATATTTTAAAATGTATTTTTTCATCATATTAATATGCAAAAAGTTGTAATTTATAGTACTTTTCATATAGTTTTAGGATATCTATTTTTTTTGTTTAAAATATCAAATTAATGTGATCCAATTTACCTTTAAAAATTAGTTAAATTGACTTTTGATAAACGTAACATGACAAACAATTTCAAACAGAGAGGATATCAATTAATACACATATCCAATAACTTTTTTTTTTAATACTCTATTTCTCGAAGCTCTCTCACCTATTTTACTTTATTAATAACTTGAATCTACAATTTCAAAAGTAAAAGTAAAAAAATGCTTATCATCTGAACAATCTTTGAGATTGTGAAAAATTTATGGTAGACAATAAAAACTAACGAAAAGAGTATTGAAAAAATTCTTATTCCGCCATCGATAGCAAAAAGTGACAAGAAGATCTTTGAAGATATGCGGTGGTGAGAGTGAACGAGGTTTCTCTTGTTTTTTACTTTTCCCCCTCCTTGATTCCAATGTCTTCTTAAAATTATGTGCAATTAATTCTAGGAAGCTTCACCTAGGTCTAATAACTTGTTAATTTGATTTCTCTTTTTGTGTGAATTTTATAAAAAGCCATAATGTTTGGAATATGAAAAGCTACAATTATTCAAACCTTAAATATTCCTTCGTTTCGTATTAATTAAATGTTTATATTTTACGTCTTTTTAGACAAAGTAAATTAAGACATAAATTAAATATTTTTCTGTCTGAAATTATTTGTCATGATTCCTATTTTAGAGTGTATTTTTTCATCATATTAATATGCAAAAAATTGTAATTTATAGTACTTTTTATGTAGTTTTAGAATATCTAATTTTTTTTGTTTAAAATATCGAATTAATATGATCTAATTTACCTTTGAAAATTAGTCAAATTTACTTTTGATAATCGCAACATGACAAACAATTCCTGACGGAGGAAGTATAATTTTTCATTTTGATCCTTATTAATTATTACCAAATTTATGATTTGAATAACTAAATACTAATTGATCACTAAATTCAATACTAATTAACGAAGGATAAAGTTGATAGAATACTCCAAAAATAGTCTTGAAAATTAAACAATTAAGTTAATTTGAGAAATAAAAAATGTACTACCTCTCTCAATTTTCGAGTCATAGTAAGCATTCTTCCATATAGCTATTACCAAGGGTTACAATCCAATTTGTTTTTTTTTTTAACCAAAAGTTGCAATTAAGATGTGCATCAAATTAATAATTGATAATTATTGTTCGACAGAAAAAATATTAACTTTTAATGATTATTAATTCAACTAACTACTATTACTTTGTCCATTCATATGTTCTCTTCTTCCTCTCAAAAATCCATTTTATATTTATTTATCCCAAAAAAAAAACACTACATATATAACATGAATATCTCAAAATAAAACCTTTTCAATTAAGCCATTACTATATACCTTAATTTGTTTGTTCTTTTCTTTTGATTTCTTACCTATGTTGTCTCTTTTAAGTTTCATTTTATACACTTGTCATACACTTCATATATACATTGTTATACAACATATATACACATGAGTAAATAATCTCAAAA